GCTTTCTGTTTTTTTCTTCTTCTTCTTCTGAAGATTAAAAAAAAAAAGCAAAACTTTTTGTTTAATTATCATGGGTATTTCTGGACATAAACATCATTTTAATGATAGTCATATTGAAAAAGAAATGAAAGGAATTGGTGATACTGTATGTTTAAAAATAGGAAAAGAAAAAACAAATTCTTGTTTTGCTTTTCTTCTAATCAAATAGGATCCTTTAACAAAATTAAAAGAATTATGTAGTGACGATCATGGATGTGAAAAATATAAACATCGTTTACAAGCATGTACGGATAGAGTCAATAGCAAATCATATACTAAAGAAACATGTAATGAAGAATTATTGGATTTTCTTCATTGTGTTGATGAATGTGTAAGAAAAAATAAAAACAATATAAATTATGATATATATATTTGTTTTTTATTTCTTTTTAGTGGTCACCACATATATTCAAATATGTGAAATAATTATCACAATAGAGACATTTAGTTTTAGTCGTAGATATATGTCCAACGCTATTTTCCCTATTCTGAATATCCATTTCTTTCTTTTTTTGTACAAGATAAATAACAACAAAACACGTTCTTTCGTTTTCGGGTTTTTTTTCTTTTTTTGGTTGAACCTGAGTGAGTAAATTGGAATTAGACCTCGGTTTTTTTTGTTTATTCTACTACAGATGGCTATGGCTGCTACCCGTTTTTTAATTCGAACTGCAACAGCAAGTCGTAATCCTGTTTTTAGACTAATGTCGGCACGTACACAAGCTACATCAGCTGCACCAGCATCAGGATCAGCGGCAGATATGCTTTTTACATTTGCTTCACCATCTGAAGTATATTATTATGACATTAAAAAAAAAGGACTAAATGTAAAAGTATACTTTTATTTAGGTTTTTTATACTCAAGCAAAGAATGTTCGTCAAATTGATGTTCCTACAATGAGTGGTAATATGGGTATTCTTGGTATGTGAAATAAAAAGAGACAAAAGACAATATATATTTGAACTTGTAAATTTTTCTAGCTCATCATGTACCAATTCTTGGTGTACTTAAACCAGGTGTTGTCTCGGTCTTTGAATTAGATGGAAATACAAAACGATTTTTCGGTAAATAAATTTTTGTTTTGGATATTTCAATTATTACAATGGAAGATAATGAGTTGTCTAGCAGTTCGAATTCATTTTGTATAATCAATATATTTATAGTGAAAAAGTACGGTAGAGTTATAAGCCTATAAATATCTGTTTTATTAAAAGGCAAGACTAACTTTGTTGAATGATTAACATTCGCTGTTGATACAATGATCATATAAATTTAGAACTCCCTAATTATCATGATCGAGTATTGGTACTCAAAGGGATTAATACTCGAAACATTAACAATAACATAGTATCCTAATGAAGCAACCTCCTGAGATTTCCGCTTCCGATTTTAACGTGTTTCTGCTTACAGACACTGCATAGTATTCTTGTGAAAGCCTTAAAAAGGTTTTTATCTCCGAGCTATGAACTTTTCAAACATAGATGCTTTCTGAAGTATAGTAAATCATACAAAAATATTTTGAAAAGTTCGTATCTTGAAGAAATGACGTCTTCACGCTCTAAAATACTTAACACAAGCTACTATATTTGAAATCTTGAAATGAATGTAGTTTCAAGATAAAATTCATAAGCATGAATTTATCGAAAACCTAGAGTCCTATAGAGGTCTCTGGTAAAATAAACATATTAAGAATTTAATAGTTTCACCAAGTCCCAACAGGAATCAAATACTTTTAGAGCTTTCACTAGAATAGTATGTAGTATCTGTAAACAAAAAACAAATTGAAATCCGTAGGAGGTATCTGGAAAAGTTCTCTCATTAGTTCCTTACGTCATTGTTAATTTTTCAAATATTAACATTTTAATTGCTTCTAAATATGACAAATGTTTCTAGACTTATAATTTTCTTATTCAATGAGTTAGTCGAGCCATTTCTACAAAAATGCGTTGGCGAGATAAAGAACTATATAGTTTTTTTTTCATAAATGTGTTATTGAAATTTCAATAGAACAGAAGGAATTTGGAAATTAGATGCATTGTTGAATTATTCAGGAAGGAAAATAATGAGAATGAAAAATATGAATTTGATTATGATATATGACTTTTACTATTAAACAGAACTAAGTCGTTTACATGAGGTCATATGTCCTCAAAAAGTCACCTAACTAAATTACATATAACAGAACTAAGAATCTTAGATATTTTTGATTTAATCTTACAAGATAATTAACTCAGATTATATATAGATAGCTGACAAGTACTTCATATCATTTTTAATGTTATGAATAATTATTTGCTGCTAAAACAAAAAGTATCCAAACGTCATTTTTGAAGTTTGAAGTCCTCATTAAAAAAAAATTCAAAACTTAACTGCGGAATACGACACCAGATACCATAAAAGATCTTCTGATTATATATACAATGTATGAGGCTTAACAATTATATAATTCGAATAATTCAGAATATTTACTATTGAAAAACACATAGTGAGATATGGATGAGAAATCAAGGATCGCCCATTCTACCATAACTTATGTGGTTAATAGCCGTTATAATAATATAAAAATATAGCAATTAAAATGTAGAGGAAAGTATCCATGGGGTAAATATTGTCAACAAAACTTCACACCTACGCTTAACCCTCAAGTCATTTCATTTATTTTACACTTCTCATATACGTACAAACAAAATGAATAACATATTTAAGGTCATCCAACAAAACTACATCGTCACATCTCGATGATTTTCTTATTTTCGTCAATCATTAAAAAATTCTACTGAATTCTGTACGCTGATACTTGAAGGATTAATAAATAAACCACAGAACTTGGCCCCTGTATGTCTACCTTGTAATTTAAAGTGTACAATAATGTCTTTTTTTTCAACCCATTGAATAAATCATTAATTAAAAGTTTTATACACAACAATCTCCAAGTGATCTATAGGCACAATCAATAAATTTGGTTTTTTTTTATCAATTGAATTTTTTTGATTATCTGTAAAAAATTTATTATTTTTTAGTAAGTAGTGGTTCAATCGCAGTTCATCCAGATTCAACAGTTCAATTATTAGCTGAAGAAGCAACAGCTATTGAAAATATTGATTCTAAAGTAAAGAAGAAAAAAATATTCCTTTAAAAAAAGAACAAATAAAATTATTTTGTAATTGAATTTAGGCTGCACACGATGCTCTATCTGAAGCTCAACGTCGATTAGGAGCAGCTAAAGACGAGAAGCAAAAAGCTGAAGCACAAATTGAAATTGATTGTGCTGAAGCTGCTATTAAAGCTGCGTCTGGTGTTTATCAATAAACTTTATAGCAAAAAAAAAAGAAAGAAACATAACACAAACAGTGTGTAGTTTATAAAAATCATTTAGTTATTTTGTCCATTTTTCTTTTCTGTGTTTGCTATTTAATATATAACATTCGTTGGACCCAAATAGATAAATCATATCTCTTGTCTTTTTCTTTTTTTTGCAGATGGCTCTTTCTCGTTTAAATCGTATCATAGCCGTTGTTGTTCTGATATTTGCTATTATTTATGGATGGAAATGTTTATTTGAAGCTCGACGTCCACCATGTTATACAATTGATGTCAAATATTTTGGTTCAAACATTCCAACATCAAGTGATAACGAAGATTTTTCAATAAAACCATTTAAAATTCCATTTGAACGATCACAAGTCGATGATATGGTTAATCGTGTAAGCAAAACGCGTTTTTATGAACCACAAATATTAATTGATAATAATCTTGTTAATAAATCAACATATGGTTTTAATCGTCAAACAATTGAAATGGTTCGAGATTATTTAATTAATACATATGATTGGAAAAAAACTGTACAAGAATTAAATACATTTGATCATTATAAAACAAATATTGCTGTAAGATATTCTCTTGTTTTTTTTTGTCTTCTGAATCAAAAGAATGAATGGCGTTAAAGACCATTTTTCGTTCTCAAATATTTTCAAGAAATAATTATATGAAGATAACGAGGCTGATATTGAATATAAATCTAAGTTATTCATTTTACTTAAAATGACTTTGAAGGTTCTGATCCTTTAAAGAATTTTGAAAACTTTTTTCAAAAATAGGTAGGAATATCAAGTTGGCTATGTTGATCACAAATATCACTATTACAAGTCTTAAAAATGTAATGCTGAAATGTCAAGCAGTTTTTACTTATGTCCAGATCTTAGTCTCCTTTTTCACATAGACTAATCGTTAAAAGGTCATTTACATGTAACTTTCAAAGTTCTATCAGAATCCGTATGAATTGAGATCATCAAAAATATATAATTATTTTTAATGGCGAAATACAAGCAGAATGAAGGTAGAATAAGCAAAAGTGATTTTCGTCCAAGAGTTTCTGACGCACTAAATACTGTTGAAGTTCGCTAAGGCTATGTTAATTAAACGTAGTTTTTTATATTCTATTCGTATATGCTATTAAACTGATCAATAAAAGTCGACATTAAGTCAAAAACTGCGATGAACGAGCAAAAATACTCTATGATCCTTATTGTTCATCAACCTTGTCGTCTTTCTGACCAATGTCACTCAAATCTTTTTATATTCATTTGTGTTGGAAACATGCGTAGACACTTTTATCATAGTTCACGAAAAGTTTCTGCCATAATGAAAACTGCGTTCTTCAGGTATTAGATAGACAACAAATGTATATGTTTCACAAGGAAGCCGGAAAACTTACAACTCAGAAAGAATACTTTCACTTTAGACTGAAACGTTTGGTGTATTATAAGGACTATGATATCTCTTCATTAGTCAAATTTACGGTTAAAATTCGGACATTTAAATTTTCTTAATAAACCATAGCATATGTCAAGAAGTGCAATGAAGTAGTGATGATTCCAGAAGAACGATCTATGAATATCAATCCTTTTGATGTTCTTTTATTTATAATATACTGTAATTAATAGGACAATTTTTATCTTAAAATCAATTTATCATCTATGAGGATTCACTAACAAATATTATATGTTTACAAATATGAAATCAGTTTATTCATTCTTACAATAAATTACATTTATGCGAATGTTTCCACTAGATGAAGAAAAGTATTTTTTGTACCAAATATTAAAGAAAACTATCTCACATGTTTTCAACACCAATGAACATAAAAAAACTTAAAAGACATTGATCAGAAAGACGACAATGTCAATGAACAATAAGGGTCATAGAGTATTTTTTGCTCGTTTATCGCAGTTTTCGATCTAATGGCAGCTTTTATTGATCAGTTTAATAGCATATTCAGATAGCGCATGAAAAACTATGTCTAATTAGCGGTCTCAGTTGACTTGAAAAGTATTTAGTGTACCAAGAACTCTTGGACGAAAAGCGCTTTTACTTATTTTACCCTCATCCTGCCTGCATTTCGCCATTAAAAACAATTAAGTATTTCTGATGGAGCTTTAAAAGTTGCATATAAAAAAGTTTTAAAGGATTAGTCTATCTGAGCAAGGGGTCTAGAATCCAGATATAGATAAAAGCCGTTTGACATTTCAGAATTACATTTTTGAAACTTGTAATAGTGATATTCGTGATCAGTGTAGCCGATCTGATATTCTTAGGTAATTTAGAAAAAATTTTTCTAAATACCTTGAAGGATAAAAAATCTCAAAGAAAATGACTAACCTAGGGTTGTAACTAACATCGGCCTTATTACTTTCATATATTTATTTCTTGAAAATATTTTGGGTCGAAAAATGGTCTTAATGTCATTCGTCTTTTATTACTAAATTATTTGTTTTTCAAAGGGTTTGGATATTCATTTTGTCCGTGTAACACATAGCTCTCGAATAAATGAAAACAAAGAAGCTATTTTATTTTTACATGGTTGGCCAAGTTCATTTCTTGAATATCTTGATGTTGCTCGTCTTCTTAATTCATCATCAAATACAAATTATGATCTTATTATTCCATCATTACCTGGTTATGGCTATTCAGATGCACCTTTACGTCCGGGTATGAATCCAACACAAATCGCTCGTATTATGCAAAATTTAATGCAACGTCTTGGTCATAGTTCATATGTTGTATGTGGTGGTGATTGGGGAGCTGCTATTGGTACAAGTATGGCACAATTATATCCTGGTCATGTTCGTGGACTTCTTATAACAATGTCTGCAGTAGCTACAACATGGAAACATTATTTACAATTAGCTCTTGGCCATTATGTAAATCCATCAATATTACTTGATTATGATGAACAAGAATTCTTAGTTCGACGTTTTAATGCATTTGATTTTGCTAAAATTTTATGGTAAATTGAAAAATATGAATCGAGAAATAAAAGAAAACTTTATTTTATTTTTTTATTTGATTAGGCGAGAAGGTGGTTATTTTCATTTACAAGCAACAAAACCGGATACAATTGGTTATGCACTTAATGATTCACCAATAGGCTTAGGTTTATTTTTATTTTTTCCAAATTTTATTTTCGATTTATTTTGTTTGTTTTTTTTTTCAGCTGCTTATATATTAGAAAAATGGTCTCGTTGGAGTAATAATGAAATTGATATTGATCAATCAATTAATTCCGGTTTAGATCGTTTTACACTTGATCAACTTCTTTCAAATGTTGTTTTATATTGGACAACAGGAACAATAACATCATCAATGCGTCTTTATTTTGAATATGCTTCTCAAATATCATCTGGTCATGATGATAAAATTCTTAAGGGTCCATTAGCTGCTTCAGTTCCTGTTGCTATTGTTAATTATCGTAATGAAATACTTTATGCACCACGCACAATAGTACGATCTAAATATCCAAACATTAAATTATGGTTATGTCATACGACTGGTGGACATTTTGCTTCAATGGAAAAACCACGAGAATATGCTCGTGATATTGAAAAATTTCTATTACAACTTTGAAAAATATCAAAAGTTTGTACATAATGTAATCACATTTATTTTCATTTATATTCTAAATAGATATGTAGATTAATAGATGATAGTTTCGATTCTTTTTTTTTTCTTTATTGTTATTAACATCGTTAGTTTTGTTTTTCATTCTATTTTGTATTACTAACAACAATTTGTATGTAAGACTTTATTTCTACTTCAGCACTATTCTGAAAAAAACAATATATGTATTCCAGATATAACTTTGTAACGAAAATAATATTCTTATTTTTCTAGATATATATGAGAAAATAAAAACAAACTATTTAATGATGCTGATTCAAATTGATTGAATATTTTGTTCAATATGGCGACAGGATTTTTGAGCGTATGTGACCAAATTTTAATAGCATCATCTTCTTATATACCTTATGATGCATCGAAAAAACCGCTCAGTACCTTGCTCAATGAAATGACATCTTATGTGAGTACAGGTGGAAAAACAGAAAATGGAGATGAATCAATTATTTATGGGTATATAATCCAAGAAAAGCAAAAACAAACTTGATTTTACAATCGCTTTTTTGTTCCTTTTCAGGCTTCAAATACTTCTCTTGAGTGATGTAGAACGTGTTCGAGCTGCATCACTTCGTGCTCTTCGATATTCAATTCATCGTGCGACTATTTTTGATAAATTTCTTGAATGTCGTCTTGATTACCTTGTTTGTCGGTAAGTTGTTTTAACGAATTGTGCGAAAGTTTCTGGACAAGATGTTTCTTCGTTTGTCGATTGATTGTAAAAATCACCAGAAAATTTAAACCGTTGGATTAAAACCAAAATTTTATGCACTTTTCGAATATATATGTTCGGTATTATGAGTGAATCTTGGAAAGGTTCGAAAATAAAGTTTGAATAAAAGCAGTTGAACAAACAGATCTAGAAATGGCAAATCTAATCGTACTCCGTTTGAAATCGATTGTATATTATTTTTCTCGGCACTTTCTTGTTTTCGTCATAACGGTGCCCGATTCAGCTTATGAGGGAACCTTCCCACGTACTAAAAGCTTGTGAACTGGAATTTTGTCCACAAATAAGAGATGTATAGACTAGAGAAAGCCTAAGAGGATATGGGCACAAGTTGCGATTTGAGTGAGATATCGACATTTTGCTATAATTTTTCTGAAGGATCTCATCTTTGAGGTAGAATCAAACTTTTAAAATTTTTGGATGAATAATCTCCAATACACCAGTATGTTAGTGTAAAGACACTTTTTATGAATGTTGTGTTGTGAATGAATATCTTGAAAAATTCATATCTCGCAGATAATTTGTTCAAAAATTCTGAAATTATGTAGGAAAGTTCGTCTGATTGAAGCCTCGAGGTGGGGAAAGTTTCAGATCAAAATTCAAAACTCTGATTTTACCGCAAAAGTAGAGTCCTGCAGGAAAATTATAGTAAAATGCCGATATCTCAGCTAAATCACAACTTGCACTCATATTCTCTTAGCCTTTCTCTAGTCTATACATTTCCTATTTGCGGATAAAATCTCAGCTCAAAACCTTTTTACCATCTGGGAAGGTTCTCTCGTTAGTCCTACTTCATTTTGTTTGTCTGTATCATTTTCTTGGGCTAACATCTAGACAATGTACGTCCATCACAGTAATAATGCTCTTGTTGAATATATTCTATTACCAATTTTTGTTTTTGCATAGCGTAAAGAACGAAATAATCTTCTACAAAGTGAGTTGACAACTGTGAAAATCTCCCAATAGTTCTTTCAAAAATAATTGAGTTGATTTTGGAAGTATAGAAATCAAAGGAGTTTTCGAAGACGTTAATGTATCTTTTTTTTATTAATTGAAGTGTCACATAAAGCAAATGATTGGAATATGATTTTATTCAGCAATGCTTGCTTTTTCTCTTAGTGTATTTGTCATAAATTCTACTTCTACTTTCGGTAGTCTTTTGTGTTCATTGAAATCAGTCCAAATTTTATTTTCGAGACGTTCAAAGATTCCCTCATAATATTTAACCTATGAGTCTCACACATATTTGATAAGAACACAAAATTCTTTTTTAACCTAATGCTTTAAAATTTTTTGTTGACTCCCGTAATTGATCGACAAGCGAAACAATATATAGTACAGAAACTTTCGCATCACTTATTACTTGTATTCAATAATTCTTTCATTATTTCTTATTTAGATCTCTTACAATTGATTTACGAAATGCTCGCGAACGTTTAGAAGCATTTAAATTAATTCGTCGTTTATTTCTTTTATATCCTTTACGTTTACCTCATTCATTTGTCTATATTCTTGATGCTATTATTGCGTCAAGTTATCCAACATCAGTACCTCGAAGTACAAATTCAACACCTATAATACGAACTGATCAAATGGTTAAATGTTGTTTAGAATTATTATGTGAAATAGGTAACAAAATAACTAATTTTATTTAAATAAAAAAATTATTGTTTCGTTTTTCTTGTAATAAAATTAGCACTTCAAAATCCACATATATTACATGAATGTCATGCAATAAATACCATGTTAAAATTTATTGTTAATCTTGAACAAGATGAACTTCGTGACAGCGTACTTTATGCATTATTACATGCTGTTGATCGTTTTACAATCAATGATAATAGTGAACCAACAATACTTGATTCAGTTGATTCCAATGGTCCAGCTTTAGTTCTTGTTGATGAAGGAATGCGTGAACGGCATGAATTAATTGGAAATATGTTTAGTGTATGTTTATTTCTTTCTTTTCTTCTTTTCGAAATAATTGTAATTGACTTTCAACTTTTCTTTTCTTTTCTTTTTTTTGTTCGTTGTTTAGCAATTAGTGGCAATTTTTTCATTATGTGAAAAAGGCACATTGAAAACCAGTGATCGTCGTGGAAGGACACCAGCAGCGTAAGAAGAAAATTAATAAAAATGAAAAACGAGAGAAAGAAAATTTTTATGAATTGTTTTTTTTTAATATAGATTTGATAGTTTAGTCCTTAAAGAACCCGATAAATTAAAAACACTTAAATCATGTGCATCAGCTATGGGAACAATTTTACATAGTTGGATCGGTAAGAATTGATTGATTATGAATAATATATATATTTTATCATGTTTGATATAATATAAAAGGTTTTACGGCATTTTGTCAAACAAGAAATTCATCTATACGTTTACTTGTTAATTGTTTACTTGTACAATCTGAACCGATGAAAGTATATTCAAAAACGATTTTGTTTTGTTTTGTTTTTTTGAATAATAATAATATTTATATATATATATATATTTAGATGTTAATTCTTGATCTATTTTATGATTTACTGAATCTTGATGTTCCAGCTGTCTGTGATAGCTATGAAGCAGCACTTAAATCTATGTGTAAACATAAATTTCTACTTTAGTTTTATATACAGAATGATAATTTTTTTTGTTTATGTATATGTCTTATATATAGATCCAATATGGAATTTAACACCAGTTGAAGAAGGATACACATATGTAGCTTGGGAAGGAGCTGATAAACTGCCTCGTTTATCATCTACAAGGTATATTAAATCATTGATAAATATGTATATTATTTTTCTTTTGATTATTGTTTGTGTTTTTTTATTAACCATATTTTTTTTTTGTATTTGTTTTCTGAAGTGTATTCTAACCTGTCTTTTACTATTTATCTATAGACCGAACTTGCTTGATAGTCATATGGCATTAATGCTTCTTAGTCTTATTGACTCCGGCTTAATCGAGGTAATTTTCCAATAAGAAAATAAACGTTTTCATTATTTCTTTTTTTTTTTTAAATTTTTCTCTAAAATTCATAATTAATTTGATCATTATTTATTAGGCGGTTAGTGAATTAGCATCGAATGATAACTCGATATTATCTATTCGTGCAACACTACTCTTGGCAAATTTCATTTGGCTGGTATGTATTGTAACTTTTACGTAAGATAAAATAGAATATTAGCTTCAGAGATGTGCACCGCGCCTAAAAAAACGAGGTAGGAGCGGCGCAAGGGACAATGGTGGTTGCCATATAGCGACGAAGACTACCACTGTCTAAAGTCTTCTCGACCGTTGGCACAGCCGCACCTAATTGTAATTGAAAATTTTTTTTTCTCATATTTGTTGCTCTATAATATTTCTTAAAAAAATAGTGCTTCATTTCGGAACACGTACCTAAGAACAACGACATAAAGTTGAAAATATCACGGAAGAATATTTAATTAGGTAAGATATAGTTAGACAAATATATATTTAATTTTATGCTCGTCGCAATTAAATTTTCTAAGTTTGAACTTAGATCGATTTGTTATCAGAATAATTATTAATCAACATGGATCACGATTTTAATTTTATAAATTTAACAAATGAGTATGAAATGGGGTACTAAAACAAACAGTACCTCACACGGTAGAGTTTAACAGCTATTATGATTAAGGCGTGGTCGTCGTGCTTCAAGTTTTTTTTTTTTTGGCGACACAGCCACCCATCAATGACTCATACTTGTCATTAGGACGTGGGTGGTGCATATCTCTGATTAGCTTTGATTGTTATCAATTCATTTTTTTAAAGACATCCTCTTTTTTATTAATTTGAATGAACAACCAAGTTATAGTAATAAGTCATCGTTATGAATATAAAGTACATAATTAGTTATATTTTTTATTGAATTCTAGTGTAATGAACACTTACCTGAAGAGCAAAGTTTTCTTTTATTACCTCTATTAATGGATGTTGCTATAGCTGATGATGATAGTATCAAACGAAGGTATTTAGTTTTGAAAATATTTCAATTATTTTTAATAATTTATTTATTTCCTTTTTTTTTTGTAAAGTTTTGCAAAAGAAGCTATGCTTAATATAAATGCATTCTTTGAATTTAAACAACGTACACGTCATATACATTCATTTCAATTAGCACAATTAATATATCATTCTCAACATTTACATGATTATTTTACATTACCAACAAATGTTGGTATAGAAACAAATCGTCGAATATCAACATCGT